AAAAACTGAACCCTTTCAAATTCAAATTAGCTGTAACGTATTGTAGTAATTTGACAGCTCTAATTGCTTTAAATTAATGGTTGGATAAGAACATTAGGTCTTGTACTCATGGGACAAAACTCAAAGAAATAAAAATTAGAAAATTTAAAAGAAATACAGTATTCCTTGTGTTCTTACCCAACCATTAATTCAAGGCAATTAGAGCTGTCAAATTACTACAATACGTTATAGCTAATTTGAATTTGAAAGGTTCAGTTTTTTTTATACACCTTGTATAGTATACAGAAGCACACGGGGTGTCTTTAGGGGTCCTTTACAAATTCACCAGTTATTGTTATAATTCGAATGCGTCATGCCTGAGTACTACAGGGTGAGTAAAAAAAAACTGACACCTTTGTTATTCAAATTAGCCGCGAAGGTATCAGTTTTTTTACTCACCCTGTACAGGGTGTGCCAAAAAAAACCAAAGCTATTGAAATGACGCATTTGTTAGAACTTATTCAACTAAAACTCATTTGCAGCTGAACGCAAAGAGGCGAAAAATATTGACAAAGTGTACACATTAAAGCACGGGCAATAGGACAGGTGTAGTGTTGTTAAATAGAAAGTTGGAAATGGTATTATACTTACTCATGCATTATAATTATGTTTAAAAGATCAGAATATTCATAACTTCTTATTTTGTTTCATAAATAGTTCTTTAATATTCGAAACAAATTCCATATCTGCTTCGTCTGCCATCACCATGTTTACTCGTCCCAATCTACATGCTGCACGGCATTGCCGCCCCTCCTGGCAAAATAATAAGCAAGCGAGAAAAATTAGAAGAAAATAAGAGGGTAGGAACATCGTTGTCATAAGCTGGATGCAGTGACACTTCCATATATGGCACAAACGTATCCATAACTTCCATATATGGCACAAACGTATCCACGACGCGGTTTATAACGTTTTATTTGACGTAGGGATGACGTGTAATGCTGCTTCCCGCCTATGACGATTTGAATTAGTCATGTGATACAAGATTGAGAAAGCTGATTCGCCCAGAACGATGACACGCCCACGAAACGCCCACAATGTTCCTACCCTCTTATTTTCTCCTTAATTTTTCTCGCTTGCTTATTATTTTGCCAGGAGGGGCGGCAATGCCGTGCAGCATGTAGATTGGGACGAGTAAACATGGCGATGGCAGACGAAGCAGATATGGAATTTGTTTCGAATATTAAAGAACTATTTATGAAACAAAATAAGAAGTTATGAATATTCTGATCTTTTAAACATAATTATAATGCATGAGTAAGTATAATACCATTTCCAACTTTCTATTTAACAACACTACACCTGTCCTATTGCCCGTGATTAAAGCGCACGATTTTCTGCTCTTGGGAATTTTAAACGGTTTCTTGAACAGTTTCTTTATGGATAAAATTTACTTATGTCTGTGGTCAAGCTTAATGCACTTGTGGGTTCAGCAGAGTGCTCAGACATAATTGCTGCCGAGCGTCAGCAAGGCAGCACACTATTCTTGACGTTCTTGCTTTTTCGTGTCCAGTCCTTCCGGCCGAGTTATGTACAGTCAGTCGTAATCTCGATTCGAAGAGGGGAGGATGTCGGTTTTCCGGGACATATTATGTATTCAAGTTCGTTTGTAAATTTGAGGGGGTTGTTCAACAAAATTTTGTATTCAGTGTTTATTTATCGATGTGATGAAACGAGGGAAACAGTCAAAATTATAAACAGCTTTTCAGGGTTCATATCTCTGCTATGAAGACTACTATTAAAGTGATTTAATGTCTGTAAGTTTAGTCTATATAATCAGTCATCAGTGTTTATTTATCGATGTGATGAACCGGTTTAATATAAAGTTGCGAATATCCCGGTTTAATATAAAGTTGCGTATATAGAGGGAAACAGGGTTCGTATCTCCGCTATGAAGACTACTATGTCTATCAGTCTATGGCTATTGGCCACATATACTTATGGCTATACCTGTACTATAAAAAATCTCTGGTTATTATGTATATTTACGAGTTTGAGAATCGAGGAAAACAAGGTTCATATCTCTGCTATGAAGACTAATATGTCTATGGCTACCTTATTTATGGCTACCTACTACAAATCTCTGGCTAGTATGTATATGAAAGAGTTTAGAATTTATAAACTATTCAGTTGTTCAAAGTCGAGTATTGTATTAAATTATAATTTTAGTCAAATGTCCACAATATACTCCTTACAGTATTAATAAAATTCGCGCAGTACTATAAGCGCAGCGCTGGGTGCGCGAATTTTAGTACTGCCCGAAATATAATCCGCGCGCAAAACTTTGTGGTAGTAAAGATAAAGCGTGCGTTCAAATACTAACAAGAACTAAAACAGTTGTTGTATGGTTCTCGACATTTGCCTAATAC